CAAAGCAGGCAATGCATCTTGCTTTTCATATGTGTTGATGGGCTAAAAAGTTGTGGAAAGCTGGGAACAGGGGCACCTCTATAACCCCAGTGTTCCAGAAGGAAGAAGATTGCAAGTTCAAGCCAGACCTGGGGAGTTTAACAATTTACTGTCTCAAAAATCTAAATAAATGAGGGTTGGATGCGCACCTCAGTGTGAAGGCCCTCAGTTCAATCCCCCAGACTGGAAAAACCATGAAGGCCATTATTATTGCTTTGGTTACTGCTTTGGTTTTGTAGTCTTGATGCCTGTTTGACAGGAAGAAGAAAATACAAACATTGCATATGGCCAAGGTTAGGCCTGTTCTCATGAAGAAGGCTCAAAGTTAGTTCACAAATAGCAAGGACCAATGAACATTTGTGTGAAGTCATCATTTTGCCACGACTACTTGATCATGAAACTGGTAAACGCTAAACAGATGGACTTGTGGAAAGAGGTGAGAGTGGGGGCAAAGAGCATGAGGGTGCACATGTGGAAGACCCAGAGGAGTCTATGTTCTACGTGCTTATTCCAGTTTACCTCTTCGCTTGCACGTGGTTCTCTTGATTTAGCAAACTTCCTATCAAGTGAAAGTTGCACAGTTTAATGCAGGAAGACCTACAGAGTTTTTAAATTTTGCTTTTCCATCCATCCTGGTCATTTCCAAATGGCTCTTGATTCCAGGTAGGGAATGGACATTCTAAAGTCACCTCAACAATGCCTGCTGGTCCAACAGGACTATTATGTGTGGTAATGCCTTCGACTGCCTTTTCCTTCATCTTTAGCTTAGGCAGTGAGCTTTAATTCCAAATGTGGGTGATAGTGTTGGGCAAGATTATGGAGAATTTAGACACAAAAAGTTACCGCAGAGTAAACTGAGCCAGGGATAAATACTATCCATTGTATGTAGTCCACTGACCTGGGTGCTGGGAAGGGAACCCAGGGCCTGCATGCTGAGCTATATCCCCAGCACTTATTTTATGTTTTTATTTTCAAGATAGGGTCTTTTTAAGTTGTTAAATTGCCCAGGCTGCAGTCTTCCTGCTTCAGCCTCTCAGAGTGCTGGGATTACAAGCATGTGTCACCATACCAGGTTTGTTTTGCAAATTTTAATCAAGTATAAGAAAAGAATATGAAACATCATACTGTAACTGACAAGTGTGTGCAAGCATTATGTGTAAAATTTTAAAAATTGTAAAGGGAATAAGAAAAGTTTTGATATAATTAGAAATGTGGCCATTCTGATCCTGTGAAATATAAACAGTTACCAGCCACCCTTCCGCACAAACCCTCATCTCCAAACAGAAGTTCTGCCAGTAATTTCCTTGCCTGTCTTTCCCTTGTTCACTTTTTCACATGTAATTAAACAGCTCGTGGTTACAATATTTCACATTTGCCTAACTTTTCTTTTCTTTTTGTCTTTTTGAGACAGGGTCTCACTATGCAGCTCAGGCTGGTCTTGAGCTCACTTTGTAGCCCAGGCTGGTCTTGAACTCACAATAATCCTTTTGCCTCAGCCTCCCGAGTGCTGGGATTACAGGCATGTGCCACCATGCCCGGCTAACTTTTCATTTGTGTATTTATGCCTCATCTACCCAAAGAAATAAACTCCTTGAGAAACAGAGCCTTAAAAAGTTTTAGGCACACAATTCTAATCTCAAAGCATGTCACAAAATTAGTATGTAATAGAACCTGGGGAACTTCAGTGAGCTGCTGGAGGGGAGAAACTCCAGCCCCATGTCCTCACCATTGTGGGAGCTTCGGTAAGCTACTCAGGAACCACTGTGAGTCATGCAGGAGGGGAGAAACCCCACCCACCACACCTCTGTCATCCAGGGAGCCTTGGTCTGGAGGAAGCCTGGGGCCTGGCCCATACTCCTATACTGTGGACCAGGCAGCCAGCACATGAAGCACTCAGGAAATGGCAACTGTCATGTCCAGAGGAACCCAGGGTAAATCCACTCTAACAAGGGGAAATACTTAGCATACAAACTCCTAATTTACAATTGGTTCTGTTATATAACTATAGACTTTGCTCCTATGGTCTAAAGTAAAAAATCAATAGCTACCATAGTTGGTCAGTTCCTAAGTTGTGCTTATTGCTAATTGTACTATTGTAGCTAGGATGTCATATCTGTTGTAACCAGTTTTTTCCCCTTGTGTCACAATATTGGGAAGGTCTGGGGGTAATAATCTCACCACAGCCCTACACCAAAAGACTGGGGACTGAAACAAACAGAAACCAGTGACTCACTCTCAATTAATTGGGAAGGTAGGATCTTGAGACAGACACAAACCAAGAATCTCCTACACACAGAAGATATCCCTGAAGTACAGACTATTTCTGGAGAGGCCTTGATATTAGTGATGTAACTACCTACTACCACAACTCACAAGGATCACCACAGAAAAAAAAAATTTAAAAATGTTTTGAAACAGAAAATGTAAAAACAAAGGAGCAAAATGCAATCTCAGACCTCTAGCCCACCCAGAACAAGTCCAGGATTTATCACAGAGAAGAAATTGGAAGTTACACACCTCAAATTTCTGAAATGACAGCAACTGAAGTAAAGAAACAACTCCATTGGGTCATAGAAGACATCAGATCAGAAATAATCTCTCAGGTAAAAAAAAGAATGACAACCATAATGAAAGAATTGCACAGCATATCTAAAGATGACATAAAGAAAATCAGAGGAGCAAAGAAAAATGATGGAAACTTTGAATGAACAATATAGGAAAGAATTAGAATGCATGAAACAGATTCAATGAGATATCCAGGAAATTAAAAATTCCATCAAAAGCTGGAAGAACTGCTTGAATGAAATGGAAGATAGACTCTCAGACCTTGAAGACAGTATTGCAGGTAGTGATTGTGAAAGAAAATATCTCTTAAAGATAACAAGGAGCTAGGAAATAATAATTCAACAGCTGCAAGATGATGCAAAGAAAAACAATACAAGACTGATGGGTGTTGATGAAAAAGCAGGAGTCAACACAAATGACATAAAAAGACTATTTGCATAAGTAATAGCAGAAAATTTCCCAAGCATGGAAAAAGAATCTGACATACAGTTAAGTGAGGCATATGGAATTCCAATTAGCCACAACCAAAATAAATCTACACCTAGACATATAATAACCAAGATCCCAGAAATTCAGCACAAGAACAGAACACTAAAAGCTGTCAGAGGAAAGAAACATCACCTATAAAGGAAAGTACATCAGAATCACAGCATATTTCTCAAAACAAACCATCAGGTCAAGAAGAGTTTAGGGCGAAGTATTTCAGGTCCTGAAAGAAAACAACTTCCAACCCAGACTGATGTACCCTGCAAAACTATCCTTCAAAATAAATGGAGGAAAAAAAATAAATTAATGGAGAAATGAGATACTTGCACAACAAAGAACAACTGTAGAAATTCATGACCAGCAAACCAATTCTACAAAGAGTACTGAAGGATATTCTAGAAGAAGATAAAAATGACCACAATTCCAAGAACAATAATGGAAAGGAACCACCCAGCAGAGCAAGCAATTAAACAGAGGGGAAAAGTAGGAAACCAACAGCAGGAAAATAACCTGACAAAGATAAACCAATACATATCAGTTATAACCAGTAATGTACATGGCTTCAATTCACCAATCAAAAGAAACAGACTGGCAGAGTGGATCAGGAAACAAAATCAAACAATATACTGTATGCACGAAAAACATTTTACTCAAAAGGAAATTCATACATTGAAAATCAAAGGATGGAAGACAATACTCCATGTGACAGGAACCCAGAAAAAATCAGGGGTAGCTATTCTGTTTGCAGATAATGTGAACTTTAAAGCAAGAATGATCAAAAGAGATAAAGAAGATCATTACATACTTGTTAGGGGAAAACTGCAAGAGGAAGAGATAACAATCATGGATACCAATCACCAAATATGGGAGCACCCAACTATTTAAGACAAATTTTAACAGATGTGAGAAATCAAATAGCAATAACACAATTATAACAGGGTACTTTAACATCCCATGGTCACATACAGATAGACCAACTAGACAAAAAATCAGCAAAGAAATAAGAGAACTGAACCAAACTTGTGAACAAATGGACTTAGTAGACCTTTACAGAGTATTCCACCCAACAACATCAGAATACATATTCTTCTCAGTTGCACATGGGATGTTCTCTAAAATAGACCATATACTAGCCCATAGAACATGCTTAAGTAAATGCAAAGGAATTGAAATTATCCCATGCATACTATCAGACCATAGTCCAATGAAATTGGAAATTACTGACAAAACAAACCACAAAAACTCCATAAACATGTGGAAATTAAATAACACCCTCTTGAACAATCAATGGATCACAGATGAAATTAAAGAAGAAATTAAACAATATTTACAATCAAAAGGAAAATGCAGATACAACTTACCAAAACCTATGGGATGCAATGAAAACAGTCTTCAGAGGAAAATTTATGGCGGTGAATTCTCACATCAGGAAAACAGAACAAGCACAAATAAATAACTTTATGCTGCAACTCAAGCTTCTAGAAAAAGAAGAGCAAGTCAAGCCCAAATCCCAAAGAAGGCAGGAAATTATAAAGATCAGCACAGAAATGAATGCAATAGAGACTAAGAAAACAATACAAAGAATTTATGAATAGAAGAGTTGGTTCTTTGAAAGAATAAATAAAATTGATAAACCCCTAGCCAACATTATCAAAAAAGGAAAGAAAAAACTCAAATTCAAGCAATAAGGAATGAAAAGGATAAAATCACTACAGATCCTATAGAAATTCAGAAGATCATCAATACCTACTTTGAAAATCTTTACTCTCTTAAAATGGAAAATACAGAGGAAATGGACAGATTCCTAGATACATATGAATTATTAAAGTTGAATCAAGAAGATATAAAAATCCTGAATAATTCAATATCAGCCAGCGAAATAAAAAAGTAATAAAAAAAAAAACTTACCAATGAAGAAAAGCCAGGTCCTGATGGATTCACAGCTGAATTCTACAAGAAATTTAGAGAAGATTTAATGTCAATACTTTTCAAACTCTTTGATGAGACTGAAAGGAATGCAAGTCTCCCAAACTCATCCTGGTGACAAGTATTACCCTGATACAAAAACCAGAGAAAGAGCCAGCCAAAAAAGAGAGCTGTAGGCTAATCTCCTTAATGAACATAGAAGAAAAATCCTCAATAAAATACTAGCGAACAATGCAGCAAACCATCAAGAAGATTATACATCATGACCAAGTGAGATTCATCCCAGAAATGCAGTGATGGTTTGATATATGCAAATTAATAAATGTAATATACCATATCAACAGAGCCAGAGATAAAAATCACATAGGGATCTCAATAGATGCAGAAAAAGCTTTTGATAAAGTCCAACATTCATTAATGATAAAAGCCCTACAGAAAATCAGAATAGATGGTCTTTACCTCACTCTGACAAAAGCCATCTATGACAAATCAACAGTTAATGTCATATTAAATGCACAAAAACTGAAATTTTTTCACTTTAAAATCAGGAACAAGGCAAGGATATCCACTGTCACCACTCCTATTCAATTAGTTCAGGAAATATTAGCTAGAGCAATTAGACAAGAGAGAGAAATAAAAGGAATAAGGATAGGAAAGGAAGAAGTATAAATGTCATTATTCACAGATGGCATGATACTCTACATAGAAGACCCCAAAAACTCCACCAAAAGATTTATAGATTTAATAACCAAATTCAGAAGCATAGCTGGATACAAAGTTAACATTCAAAAATCAATAACATTCCTATACACAAACAACAAACAGACGTAAAGAAATTAGGGAAACCACACCTTTCACAATAGCATCTAAAAAGATGAAATACTTAGGAGTCAATCTAACAAAAGAAATAAAAGATCTATACAGTGAAAATTATAGTGCTCTGAAAAAAGAGATCAAAGAGGATATCAGAAAATGGAAAGATATTCCTTGCTCATGGATAGGAAGAACCAACATTGTGAAAATGGCCATACTCCCAAAATTGTTGTACAGATTCAATGCAATCCTAATTAAAATACCGTTAGTATACCTCACAGATCTGGAGAAAACATTCCTAAAATTCATCTGGAACCAGAAGAGGCCTAGAATAGGAAAAACAATCCTGGGAGACAAAGGAAAGGCAGAAGGCATCACGATCCCTGACTTGAAATTACACTACAAAGCTACTGTGATAAAATCAGCATGCTACTGGCAAAAAAACAGACCTGAAAAATCAATAGAACAGATTAGAAGTTGCAGACACAACTACAAACATACTCAGCCACCTTATCTTTGACAAAGGGGTCTAACTTGTTCACTGGAAGAAAGATAGCCTCTTTCATAAATGGTGCTGGCAAAACTGGCTTTCCACGTGCCAAAGACTAAAACTAGGCCCATGTCTTTCACCATGCACTAAACTGAAGTCAAAATGGATCAAAGATCTAAATATTAAAACAAACACTAAATCTCTTGGAAGAGAAAGTAGGTAAAAATCTTGACGACATATGGGTAGGCAGAGAGTTCATGAACAAAAACCAAACTGCACAGGAAATACTTCAAAGAATCAACAACTGGGATCTCATCTTATTGAAAAGTTTTTGCACATCAAAAGAAATCACCAACAGAGTAAAAAGAAAACCTATGAATTAGGAAAAAAATTTTAGCCAATTGTCCCTCAGACAAAGGACTTCTGTCTGGAACATATGAAGAATTAAAAAATATCAGACACCCAAAATTCAAAGACCCAATACAAAAATGAGCCTCTGAGATGAATACACTCTTCTCACATGAAGAAATAAAAATGGCCAATAAATACTTGAAAATATCTTCAACATCCTTGGTCATGAGCTGGAAATTTAGCTCAGTGGCACAGTGTTTGCCTGGCAAGCAGGAGGTCATGAGTTCAATTTCCAGTACCGGAAAAAAAACAAAACAAAACAAAAAAATCATTGGTCATTTGAGAAATGCAAATTAAAATAACACTGAGATTCCACCTCACCCCAGAAAAAATGACTGCCATCAAGAAATCAATCAAAAACAAATACTGGCCAGGCTGTGGGGAAAAAGGAACCCTTCTCCACTGTTGGTGGGAATGTAGACTGATGCAACCACTGTGGAAATCAGTCTGGAGATTCCTCAGTAAGCTAGGATTAGAGGTCCCATACAACCCAGCTATTTTCCTTCTGGGTGTTTTCCCAGAAGAACTGAAGACATCATACCACAGTGATATATGTGCACCCATGTTTATAGTAGCACAATTTGTAATAGCTAAATCTTGGAAACAACCCAGATGCCCATCCACTGAGGAATGGATAAAAAAGATGTGGCATTTTTATACAATGGAGTATTACTCAGCTATAAGGAAAGATTAACTAGAGGCTTTTATAGGTAAATGGATGCAACTAGAGACCATAAGTGAAATAAGTCAGGCCCACATGTGTAAGCATAGTACTGTCTCCCTAGTGTAAGAAGCTGAAAGAGTAAATAATACCTGAAAGGTGCAATAGATATTGTGAAAAGGAAAGAAACTGCTCAAAAGGAAAGAACAACTGGGATGAGGGAAAGGAAAAAAGAAAGAAGGAAGGGAAAAAATATATATATACACAATAGCTAAGATAACTGAAAGGAACGGTTAATGCTGAATTTTTTGGTCAATTCTGCATGCCTCTATCTGGTACTCTGAACAACTAACTTGAAGATAACAATATATAATATAACAACCATTGTTGATTTCCTATCATTTTGTTTTGAAAGTCTGTATTGTTTGTAATGTTTTTTATTCTCTTTAAAATAAAAAGTAAAGAAATTAGTATGTAATAAATATTTGTCTGTGGCTTGCCATAAAAATGACATATACATTGTTAAGTTTTCCTAAATTTTTCTCTCAATGCAACCTATATTTACTTGACATTTACTATATGTCAGGAGAGACCAAATGACCTAAAATCTTAGCAACATTAACTGGTTAAATTGTCATTACCAGTTTTGATATTTAACATAGAAATACTATTAAGAAGTAAAAGCTGGGCATGGTCCAGTATGTCTGCAATTGTAGCATTAGGAAGGCTGAGGCAGGAGGATTGTGAGTTTGAATCCAGACTATACTACAAAGTGAGTTCTACATAGCAAGATCTTGTCTCAAAAAACCAAACCAGACAAAAAACAAAAATCAAAATCAAAACCAACCAAACAAAAGAACCCTCAAATGAGGAAGGGAACTAAAAATGACCGGATGTGCTGTGTGTGCCCGTCACAGCACAGTGAGGACTACGCCTGACTGGGCTCAGTGGATGCGGACACTTCCCGAGATAACCGGAAGGAGGGATGTTCGCTCCCAGAAGAGGTTGGTGCTGTTCACAATGCCTTGTTGCTCAAGGGCTCTCCACAGGGCCTTTCAGACCTCTGCACCCTTCCTTGTTGGCTTTCTCCTAGTCTTCCTGCCCGCCTCACACTACCTTTGTTTCATATCAGCTCCTTGCTTTCTGTCCACCCTATAAAGATCAGGGGTTTTGTTTCTTTGTTTGCATTACTGCGTCTTGAGCTTTGCACTTCATGACCTTCATTGCCACAGCTGAGGGGAAGCTCTTTCCCTTCTCCTGCCCTGGTTTTGGGGATCCCACTTTAAGATACAAGCTGAGCTTTCTGTTTGTCCAGGAATAAAGAGTACATACTTAAAATTAATTTCAATCAACATTTCAACTATTTGTGACCAAGATCAAATTGGACTTCTTTCCTAAAAAGTAGATAATAAATTATTTAGCTCTCGGAGTGCTATCAGCTGATCCCAGCCGTGTCCAAATCAACCAAGCTCCTCACCCCCTCATCTCTCAGCACTGGGAATTCACAGTAGGGCTTTCACAGTAGGGTCTCTCTAAGTTACCCAGGCTGGATTCAAACTTGGAATCCTCCTGCATCAGGCTGCCGCAGTGCTGGGATTCCAGGCATGCACCACGATGATAAGTTTCAACCAAGCTCCGTTGTTCGTATTTAATAGCTAATTTAACTGAGCATAACAGCCTGGAAATGTGGGTTATTGTCCCTATTTATGGAGGATGGAACTGAAAAATATACTGCTGTGGTTTTTTTCAAGTTCAAGGATCTGAAAAAGCCCCAGCAAGTCCACCCTGACACTGTCCAGCATATATCAGATCATTGTCTTCTTTTTATGGTGGAGGAAATGAGATCAGAGAAGAAACTTGCATGAAGTCCTTCAAGCTGGGACTCACACCCAAGGTCTCTGCGACGCCCAAACCCAAGATGTCTGTGCCCCGCGCCACCTTCCAAGCAGGCATGCTCCCCAGTGACACATTCAGGAAAAGATCTGGGAACACTTCAGAAGAGGGATAGAACAAGAAGACATCTGGTGGTATTGGGATTGTGTCGATTTAGTGACTTGCATAAAATGCTTCCAAGTGCTTGGAAATCTGGATGATTCATCATCTCTGATGATCAAAGAATCAAAGGAACAGCAGTAACAGTAAGCAATAAGCAGTTCCCTCTGTGTAACTCTAACTGCAAATTATCAGGCATGGTAAACTCGGCCGGCAAGGACTACAGGGGTCCTACGTCCACACTACAGTAGACTAAAGTACTTAGCATATTGTCTTTTTAAGTTATTGAACTCAAAGCAACCACAAAAAATAAAAATAAGAGGTGATCTAAGAGCCATTGTAAAATTGAGACTTGAAGGACCCAAAAACTCAGAATAATGAACAGGAATGTGCGAAGTTAAGATCCTGAAGGACCTGAACTCAGATGTACACGAATCAAATTTAAGAAATGTATATCACCTCTTTTGGAGAAAAATGATAATAATAACTAGTAGAAGAAAAACAATCTTAAAGTTGAGACATTAATATATGCTCCATTTGGTTTGTTTTGGGTATAAAGCATTTAAATATGCTTTATAGGAAGATGGTAAAGGAAGAAATCCAATTAATACTATAATTAGGCAGAGAACAATTATATTTAGAGCTGGATTCTAATTCCACCACTTATCTGAGAAACTTTAGACAAGTTATTGAATCTCTTTGTGCCTCTGTTTGCTGATTTCTTAAAAAGGGGATCCAGGTGCAGTGGCACATTCCTGTGGTCCTAGCACTAGGGAGGCTGAGGCAAGAGGGTCACTTGAGCCCAGGAGTTCTATGTCACCCTGAGCAACACAGCAAGACCCCATCAATCAATAAATAAACAGGGAAAACACCATAGAAATAGAATAGAAATGTTGTAAAGTTTAAGCAACTTAATACTCTCAGAACAATGTCCGTAAATATTAACCACCCTTATTACCATTAGTAATATAAAAATTACATTTTAAGTAAACCTTTGCCATCATAGAGAGTGAAGCATATGCATTCGTGCTGAGCTGTAAACCTAAGGAAAGGCCAAAGGCTGAATGGGCCACCTAGACTGATGACTCAGACCCGGCAGAGTTCAGGTTCCCGGACTGACTCAGTCCTTGGCTTCTGTTCCGAGGCTGACAATGAGAATGCCACTTAGTGCCAAGAATGGCGTTTTCATAACATGGGTGCTGCCCATGAGAGACGTGAATCAGGCCACTTGCATCTTGTACGGAACAGCAATCGCGATCAACCAAGTTCAAATCCAAGCCAAGGACACACAGGTACAATGCTTCATATCTAGTTACCGTGCTCCTCAACCATCTGTTTCTGAGTTCTAAACTCTCAACTCATCCACTGCCAAGGGGCTAAACATAGCTAATGGACTTAAATTATAATTTGATCTGACAACCCAGGTATCAAACCAGACGTGTCCAGCCAAATAAGTAGAGTGGTGACAAATATCACAGCAGTGTGTGCGCTCTACGGTGCAGGCTTTATGACCAGAAAATCATAATTGAGAAACGTAGTATCTTACTTTTCATCTGAAAAAAAAACGATGTCAGCATGGGTGTGGCATGCAACACAAAGTTATCGTGAAGTGGTTTGGAGGGACGGAATCTAGGAAAGCGGGGCTATCTTAGTCTTCCCATGATTCTCAGTTGTCTAACAGGCTAAAGCTGAATGCACTGTATCACGATATGTAGACTAAGACAGAGTAGATTTGTTTATTTATTTATTTATTTATTTATTTATTTATTTATGCTTTGTTTTTTTTTGAGCCAGGGCCTCCCTGTGTAATTTACACTGTCCTTGAGCTCACTATGTAGCCCAGGCTGGCCTCAAACTTGAAGCAATCCTCCTGCCTCAGCCTCCCGAGTGCTGGGCTTACAGGTGTGCACCACCACGCCACGCTGACAAAGTAGATTTAGATCTACTAAATAAATGCGCCTAATGGTAATGATGAACTGGGGCAGATGTCAAATACAAAGAACAGGGAAGTTTTAAAGCCTATTATTTAAATGCTGAAGCGTTAGCACTGTATTTGAAAAATGTTTTATTGGTTTACTTTTATTAGCTATTCTCATTAGAGTCCCATCAGTAGATCTGCTTTAATACTCACATCTTACCTATGAGGAAACTGACACACAGAGAGGATGATTAATTTATAATTACATAGCAACTTGATACTAGAAAAAATACCTGAGTATTAAATGGTATGATTTGCATAGGTCCTTGTTTAGCTTTCTTCTGTACTAGGGATTGAACCCAGGGCCTCCTTTACACCGAGCTACAAGTTTTGCTGAATTGTGTCTACATACATGGGTGATATGATTTAGGAATTATTAGCAATGTTAGTTGATTTGTATACATTATCATTTATACCATCTTTGAACAAAATTCATACCAAAAGATAAAATGTCTTAACATAATTCTGTTCTATTTCAATTTTGTGAGTAAAGATCCAAATGAAAAATGTATTTAAAATCTGATCCTACAGAAACTTATTTTTTTCATTTTGAACTGTGGAGATATAGCTATATCTGTATCATCTATATCTATCTATATCTCCTGAATTTTCAAGGATGAGGACTTTTTCCAACAATAAATGTTGGAGATCTCCCAAGTGATGATAATCACAATGTTTTTAATCCACTGACTTAGAAAATATAAAATGGCAAAAAGAAATTGCGAATTTAATAGTTTCAGCCAATGCATATTCCATTTACTATAATACTGTACAACAATACATTGTTTATTGTGTTTTCAGATAATCTTTGACATACCCTGGATTTTCAGGGCTCCCCACGGGTCTTGCTCCCAAGCTGGAAATCACTTAAAGGTAAAGCAATGCTGGGCCCCTCTCACTGGCTGTGCGGCTGGGCAGGCATTCTCCAGTTACCTTTTTCAAGTGCTGCAAAGAGAGGGAAGTCTTCATTTTGCTTATTTCAGGATATTGTAATGAGTATAAAAATGAGCTGATCTGTAAAGTGTCTAAAATGTAAATGTGATGTATAAATAAAGTGACGTACACAGCTATGACAGAGTTTGAGGCTAGCAAATGTGGAAGCACAGGGAGTGCTCCTACAGTCTGAAAATTAAACTCGAAAATCCAAATACAATGAATAATGTATGTGAGTTGGACGCCTTAAGAACAAAGCATCTGAGTGCAGCACGGCGGTACAAGATCACAACCCCAGTACTCTGGGAGGCTGAGGCAGGAGGATTCCAAGTTTGAGCCTAACCCCGGGCAAGTTAGTGACTTGGTAAGATTGGCATCAAAACATTTTAAAGGGAGGGCCTGGGATGCGGCTCAGTGTAAAGGAGGCCCTGGGTTCATTCTCTCGAGAACAGGAAGAAAAAAAGAGAAGACACAGGCAGGAGGAGTGCAAGTTCAAGGCCAGCCTGAGTAGTTTAGTGAGATCCTGTCTCAAAATACAAATTTAAAAAAGGGCTGAAGATGTGGCTCAGTGGTAGACAGATTAGCATCGGTGCGGCCTTGAGTTCAATGCTCAGTAATGCAGGCGGGGAGAGCAGTAAACATCCAAAGTATTTATATGGATGTTCATAAAGATCCATGTGTACTAGCAAAAATTTGGAAAATAACTATCTAAAAAACAGCTTCAAAACAGTATTTATAATGTCACCTTGTTTAACATTAGTATATTTAGGTGGAATTGTGGGAGACTTTGACATTATTTTCTTCTTTCTTTTCTAGTACTGGGAGTGGAACCCAGGCCCTTTGCACTGAGCTACACCTCCAGGCCTTTCTTTCTCATTTCGAGACAGCTCTCACTACAGCACCAAGCAGCCTAACTGGGCTCGAGCTTGTGACCCTGCAGTCTCGCCTTGCAGAGAGCTGGGGTTACAGGCGTGCGCCGCCACTACAGCTAGGTCGTATCATTGTTGTGAGGAGTAAAAATAGTAAAAGTGTCTCCCCAAGCCAAAAAGAAGAGAGAAAGCCAGCAGCCTAAGGACACCAGAAGGAGGGGAACGAAAGGAGGGAAGTTTGGCTGTAGCTTCACTGACGGTGTGTGGATATGCGCACGTCTAGCTGTCCGCGTCTATCTGGTACATGTGTACTTGGACATACGTATGCATCTGTCTCTACATGTCTCCATCCCAGGCAGTAATGACAGGTAGAACACACCGTTCAACCGAGAGGCCTCCCCGCTCCTGTTGGTGGAGTGGGGCACTGAGTCTGAGCTGCCAGGCACCCTAATCAGCTACCCACCTTTCCCTAGTCTGTGCCCACCCAGCAGCTGCAAATTGTTTACTTTTTAAAGTAAGGTTCCAGATAGGGATATAGCTCAGCAGCACAGCACCTACCTGGCAGGCGTGAGGTCACAAGTTCAATTCCTGGTACCAAAAAAAAAAAAAAAAGCCATATAAAGTAAGTTTCTTTATGAAAAAACAACTTGGTAAAACAGCATGCTATTTGGTTTGTTTTTAAGGCATTTTTTTTCCTTATTGCAAATTAACAAATTGGAACGCTGGCTGATGCAACACTCCCTTGGGAGTTCACTTAATGTAAGTGCTTTGCTAAAGAACTGTGTCACTCTAGAATGTTTGGGGGAAAGAAGTAAGCTTCTGATCTTGAAGCTGCAGACCAGACAGCAGCATGTGGTGATCTCATCAAGGTAATTGCAAGCTGCAAGGCTTTATGACAGTGAACCAACTGAGCTCCCCTACCCTATAATCCAGTATGTCACATTTAGAGCACAAAGCAGGTGTGGCTTGGAGACTTTACCATAGAATATCTCTACGGTGTAAACAATGGGTGCTATGGCATTTTACTTATGATTGGTATTATTTCCAACCCAGAGATGCAGATAAATTGAGGCCTAGAGAAACTAACTTACTTGTCCTATAATGGCCTGATTATAGTTGATGTCACTTCAAACTTGAAGTTCTAATTGGTGCGTCTTGGTTTCCAGTGCAGGGAATGATTTTCCACAGCTTATAAGAAAATGTCACAGCTGGTAATGTACCTATTGCAGTTATATTTCCATTTTCTGTTTTAGTAAACACTTACTTATTGAGTAGTATGTTCAAAGCACTCTGGTAGCTAAAGTTTTTCTTGAAATTTGCTCTAGCTTTTCTAATATGAACAAATTTATAACATTATAAGTATGGAGAGAAAAATGTAGACAGATGTGGTGGTGTACTCTCGAGGCTGAGGCAGGAGGACTGTTGAGAGTTCAAGGGCACCCTGGGCTACGTGATGAGTGTAAGACCAGCCTGAACCAGATAATTAGACCTAGACTCAGAGAGAGAGAGAGGGAGAGAGGGAGAGAGAGAAACAGACACAGAGACAGAGGCACAGAGACAGAAAGAGACACAAAAAGACAGACAGAGACAGAGAAGGAGAGACAATGAGAGAAAGAAAATGGGTGTTTACTAAGAATCTAATACCTACCAGTCACTGTCTAGATGCGCACCCAGTCTTACTTCATTCCTTACTGACTAACCCTTGCGATGTGCACTTCCCTGATGTGCTGAATGCACGCACTTCATCCCAGTAGGGCACATCCACCATGACCATGAAATGAAAATCATTACCGCAAAGCACTTATGAATCATTTAATCATGTGACCCTGAAGTACCACTGCGGCTGAGCAATCTTACAGTAACAGCTTAAATCTTCACTGAATGTGGACACTGAGGCAATGACAGTTCTTCTTAAGGATAAACCAGCAGTTAATATTTCTTTCTTTCTTTTTTTGAGGCAGGGTCTAGGCCACGATGCAGGCTGGTCTTGAACTTGCAATCTTCCTGCCTCAGCCTCTTGAGTGCTGGGATTATAGGCATTTCCCAGCAGGTCCAACAACGATTAGTATTTTAGCAAAAGAGGTTTCTGTTCGCTGGCTAGACACTTAAGCATTATCTTAAAAAGAAAAACAGAGTCACAAAAACCTACATATTATATGATTTACCTTTACATGAAATTCTAGAATAGGCAAATCTAAGTGGAACAGGAAGTAAAGTAGTGGTTTCCTGGGGTGGAGAGCAGGAGTTCGGAGGAGATTAGGAGGGACTGTTACTGGATATGGTTTGGTTCTTTTCCTGAGGGGGGTGTGTGTGGTGAAAATGTTCTAAAGTTGATTATGGCCTGATTGTACCACTGTAAATATTTAAAAACTCAGTGAGGGCTGGGGATGTAGACCAGTGGTAGAGTGCTTGGCTAGCCTGTGGCCCTGGGCTCAAACCCTACCTCCGCCACCACCAAAAAAACCCAATCCACTGAGATGCACACTCAATAGATGGGCAGTATGGCATGTGATTATATTTCAATAGAACTGTTATTTTAAAAATATTCTGAGGGGAGGTGGTAGTTGTGATATGTGCCTGTAATCCCAGCATTCTGGGAGGCTGAGCCGGAAGATCACAAGTTTGGGCCCAGATGGGGCCATTTAGTGAGACCTTGTCTAAAATAAACAACCAAAAAGACACATTTACAAAGAACTGGAGATGTAGTTCAGTGTGAAGATCCTCAGTCCAACTTCCAGTATTGAAGGAAAAAAAATAACCCAGAGTAAATTTCTGCCATCCAGCTATACAATCCTTTCAAATTAACCTGATGAGAAACCCTCTTACTGTCACTGGAGGATCTTAACAGTGAGGAGGAGTTGTAACTTCAAAAGGCAGCAGGTCACATGCAAATGAGCTCCACGGCAGGCAGGAACTTCAGAAAGGACAGGAGGGGCTGGGCTGCCCTGGCCGAGCTCGGAGCCCTGGGGTCCCCAGCACCAGCCAAACCTGTGGAAAGTGGGAGATCGGTGCCCTGGCGGAGAATGACTCATGAGCACTGTAAAATCCAGCACTATTAGTTCTTTGAGAAACAATGACAGAACATTCCAGCCCTTTCCTGGATTCTGCCGTCGGCGCTCACTTGGCTCAGCTGCTGTGAGCCTCATCCATGAAAAAAGCCCAGTGCTGCCACTGAGCCTGTTCGAGTTCTTTCCTTTCTGACTCTGCAGTACCCCACCCCTCTTTTACAGCACAGGCGGGCGCCCTGTTGCTGGGCTCTTCCTCTTCCCACAGCATTACAGGTACTAAGACTCCTCCTGCTTTGCTCTAGAAGAAGGCAGCTTGCGAGGTTTGGATCAATGCCTCGAGTAGAGACGGACATACCAATTCCCTTACTGTTCTCTTAATCATTAGTGTCCTGGAGGCATCCTTTTACGGGAAAACATTACATCTTCAATTTTCTGGACATCCCTTTAAGAAATCTCCCGCCTTCCCTCCCAAAATGAGCTCTGTGGGCGGACCTTACCTGCCACAAACCGCGCTGGAGCTCCAAAGGTTAGGGTGAGCTCAGTGGGGATCCCAGCCCCTCACCTCAGTTTCTGAGGGCAGGGAGGCTGTCGTGCTTTCCCTTTCTGGGCTTGCCCATCCTGCTAATTTTAGGCTGCTTCCTCATGCGGCTGCCATGGGTATCAGAGCATGTGGCTTCCCTCGGAGGAGCTATTTTCTCCTGTGAGCCTCACTTGTTTGTTTCCAACTTGTCTCGCTTCTCCTACCCCTCCCCAGCTCTGTGGGACAGAGCTGTTTCAAAGTAAAACTAAAATATCTCTTAGGGGCTGGGGGCACAGCTCAGGGCAGAATGGCTGCTGGGCGTGTGCGAGGCCCCGCGTCCAGTCTCCAACGCGCCTGCCAGCAACCGCACACGCTCGAGCTCATTCTGATCTCAGTGTATTCTTGGAGCCAAGAGACCGAAGAAAACTTTTCGCATTAGACTGTATTTGTACCTGCCAGGAGTCAGGTTTCCAAATCATGTTCGTCTAGCAAACATTTACTAGATTTGTACTAGACTGTGGGGATATGACGGGGAGCAGAGCAGACATATTTCACAGATGAAACCCTGGGGCTGATTTACTCAACTTCCGCTGTGCTGTGTCTCTATTAAGATCTTGGAATATAAAAATCAATAAGCAGAGGCCCTTTCCTCGGAGGGCTCAGATATTTCATTATGTGGAGAGATTCAGGTCTTGTACTGGGATTTGATTAATACGTCAAAATGGACTTGAGGTTAGTCTTTGAACATAGTGTTCTGTTAGGTACTGCAGGTGATAAATAAAAGCACGTGCACTATAGGTGCTTTTCTTAAAAGATTATGACCCAGGGCCGGGGATAAGGCTCAGCAGCACAGCACCTGCCTGGCAAGTGCCAGGTCCTGAGCTCGATTCCCAGCACCCCCTGTCCCCAAAGAAGAAAGAAAAGAAAGAAAGATTATGATCTAAACAAGAACAATTGCTCAACCGACAAATGGATGTTTATTATATTCACTACATATGTGTTCACAGTACTTTCTGAGATCATTTTATTTAATCATCTTATTTCAGAGAGAAGATATTGTGCAGTTGATGCTGACCTCAAAGTCGCCAGCCTTCTGCCTTAGCCTCCCAAGTACTGAGATCGTAGGTGTACTCCACACACCCAGCCCAGGTCTTCGTATCTCCTTCCCTCAATGGACTGTTTTGAGAGATCTTTGTATACCGTATGGGTGAGAACTAAAGTGTCCACCAAAGTTTTACATATTCGGGGTGTGTTTTTTGGGAGGTGAATGGATCAAAGAGGCACTATATTCATCAGTGGATGAATCCATTCATGAGTTTGTGGCTGCTGGACATAGTGGCACATGGTGTAATCTAGTACTTGGGAAGCTGAAGCAGGAGGACTCCCACAAGTCTGAAGCCAGCCTGGGCTAGTGAGTTCAAGACCAGCCTGAACTATAAAATAAGACCCCATCTCAAAAACAAAAACAAATACACAAAAATGACTTCGTGGCTGAGGGTACTAGGAGGACACAGAGCTGGCTGGAGATGGGTCAATAGGGACATGAGTTAGAAGGGTGTGTTCTCATCCCTGGCTCTTTCTCTGTGCCCCCTGTTTGCCATGCAGCAAGACCTTCTGCCATGCTATTTCTGCCTGGGAGTCAACCACGGACTAAATCCTCTGAAATAAACCTCTTTAAGTTGTGGGTATCAGGTATTTTGTCCCAGCAACAGAAAGTGACTAATAAAGTGAAGTGGGCTGTTGTTATGACTACACCTGACCATGTGGTTTAGATTCCTTTGAAAATGGTTTGTGGGAGGAGTTTGGACAGCTTTAGATATGAGGGGGGCTAAGAAAGGCTCTAGAATGCCCCCAACAGAGCATATTGGATGACTCTAGTCCATACTCAGAAGACCAGAATGCTAGTAAGAATGCTGACAGGAAAGGCCAGGTTCAGGAGGTTTTGATGGGAATAAGGACTCCATCAGCAGGTGGACTACAGGCTATGTATCTCATACTCTGGCAGAAAATTTATTTTCATTTTTTCAATCTTATGAAACCGAAACTGAGATTAATGTAGTGGAGAAAATTTCAAGACAGCCCAATATTCAGGATATTAGCTGGCTACTTTCATTCGATTTGTAGCAAGATTCAGGGCAAAAAAACAGAGGAGAAATTTTAAATTTTGGCCCAGAAGGAACTGTATGTAAAGTTGGGGTCAGAAGAGGCAAGGCTGCTGAAGAGATTAGCATCATTGAAGAGGAGCTAAGTACTATGCACTGGAACAAGAAGGAAGAGGCCTTGAGGTCATCTCAGAGATCAGCAAACCCCCTACCTATCACAGCTTGAGGGTGTAAAGTCCTTTGAATGAGTTGCTTTAAGAGAAGCCCTCAGGATGCCCTGCTCATTGAGGGGTGCCCAGGGAAGTGTATTCTCGAGTTCAGTCATCCAGGCACTCTACTGCTGCAGTTATATGGCCCAAGGGGGCCTGGCTATTGCTTGAGCTAGCAGCAAGCCTTGCATCATCCACATGGTGCTAGTTTTTCAGCAATGAAGAGTGTAAGATTTGTGGGATCATGGAGGCTTCCACCAAGATACTGAAAAGAAGTCTGGGAAATCAAACAATATGCCCCCCAAAAGGCTGGTATGTAAAGCTATGAGAGTAAAGCCAAATGTGCAGTGGAGACCCCAGGAAATTGAAGGCTCCAGGAATGTGGATTGTCAGCTGAGGAAAGCCACAGGTAGTGAGAGGTGCCAGCCCCAAACAGAGGTCACATGGACAGCAGCTAGCATGGCCACATGGGTAGGGGTGCTCACGCCCTTTGGAATGCACATCTGGCCACCACCTGCCCTGGGTACTGGGCATAAAGCTATGAGATTTCATATTTTCCGTGCTGGCTTTTCAACTTGCTTTGGCCTAATTCCTTTCTATTTTCCTATTTTTTCCTTTCAGATTGGAAGTTTACCCTGTGCCATTGTATGTTGGAAGTATTTATCTTCCTTTTTCATTTTCCCAGGGACTCAGAGCTAAGAGTTTGCCTTGAATCTCAGAGACATCTTTGGACTTGGACTTTTCATCAGTGCTGGAACTTTTCAGACATTGGTGACTCTTACAGATGGACTAAATGCATTTTGTATAATGAGATGGACATGAGTCTTTTGGAGGATATGGGAAGAATGTTATGGTTTAGAACTGAAATGTCCCCCCAAAATCTCATGTACTCAGGGGTGGAGTTTTTGGAAGATAACTGGATCATGGGAGGGTGCCATGTACATCACTGGATTATTCCACTCATGAGTTTATGGCTGAATGTGCTGTTAGGGGTGGAGCCTGGCTCAAGGTTGGTCACTCGGGTGTGACTGGAAGGGTATAGTCACCCTGTCTCCAGCTCCGCCCATCCCCCTGTGCTTCCTGGCAGCCACAGAGTAAGCAGCTTTCCTCTGCCATGCCCTTTCTGCCTGGGAGCCAGCTGACTGGAATGAGTCTTCTGAAAATCATGAGCTAAAATCAACCTTCCCTTTTTTAAATCCAGGGTGTCAGGTATTTTGTACCAGCAACAGCAAAGTGGCTAATATGCATACTAACAAAATTTTCTTTCATTGTTTTTTGTTTTTTTTCTGGTACTGGGAGTCTAACTCACGACCTTGCACTTGCCAGGCAGTCTTTCTTTGTTTCTGAGACAGAGTCATGCTATATAGTTCAGGCTGGCCTTGAACTAATTATGCAGCCCTAGGCTGGTCTTGAAGTTGCAGCGATCCACCTGCCTCAGCCTCTCAAGTGCTGGGATTCTAGGTGTGTCCACTACTGCCAGAAAATTTTCTAACAATTGATTCCTCATATATTACTAATCAGAAATAATTTCCCAGCTAGGGTCTGTGGCTAACATGAAACAATTTGTATCTACCAATTCTTGGGGACACATGCATACATGCATGAAGGTCCAAGCTCCTGACTGTCATCTAACTGTCTAGTGTGGGAGAACACAGGCGACTGATTATATTGTCCTGTAGCAAGCTCTACAGCAGAGGCTGTCACCAGAAAGGGTGGGCGGCTCTTAACTGACATAGACAGCACAAGTCTTCATGAAGAAAGAACTGCCTGAGTATGGAGAAATGAAAATCTCACCAGGTCGAGGGAGCATCACAACAAGGTAGGAAGATTGTAGAGAGCATATTGAATATCTCATAAAACAAAGATCAGGTGTGATTTGAGGGATGTGGAATTGCGACTCAAACTGATGCAGGCTGAACTAAGGCCATGAGGGGAGAGATGAAGGTTAAAATAATTACAGCCCCCAAAGCAAAAAAGTTATAACTGCGTACAGTACTGACACACAGAGTGCCTATTAACTTCAAGGATCTATGTACATGTAGACCAATGGAACAGAGCGGAGGATGTCGAAACAGCCCTAAAGCAACTGCAGCCATCTGATTCTGGACAAAGGACACAAAAATATATATTGGAGAAAAGACAACTTTAACAAGTGGTGTGGGGAAACTTCAC